GGGGATTCTTCGAACATCGTCGAGTTTGGTAAAGTGCTCCAGTTCCTTCGCGCTATAGATTTCCCTGTAATCTTTTCATCATGATGCTAGGGCCGATCATCATGGCTCTATAGGGTGACCTGATTGGTGCACTTTTCTGATTGACGGCCCTGCATAAATTGATAGTTATGGGCGCTGCATGACCTTCAGCAGTCGATGCGCCCTAAAACCCCAAATCATCATCATCGAGACTGTCGTTAGTGAGCGGGGACACGCACTGAAGCTAATTTTCGATAACAAACCCGATCGACCTAACCTACAATAGCCCTTTGTTTCGGTCGATTCTGGACCACTACCTGGCGCGAAATCTAATGCATGACTTAATCGCATGCCCATTGGTTAGTAAAAGGTACTTATATATATATATATATATATATATATATATATATAAACATACGCGAAACAGATTGTTCCTGATGCATGTTTTGTTAAACATCACAACGGTCTTAGCATTGGTGACCTTTCCAGATGCTTTCTGGATAAATCTGATGACGGCTTTCGCTTCTTCTTGCTGGTCGTTGAAGATTTCACGACGTGTCATGATACAAAGATGATATAGATTGTCATATTGCATTGCCTAGTGTTGCTTATATTTCGCAACGTCCCATTCTTCATTGGACATTTTCTGGAATGACAATTTTGGGCAAAGTCTGTATCGTAGTACGTTTGTAAACAGGCCTCCGCATTACTGCATTCTGGATAACGATGCTGTGACGTTATCAATGGGACTAAGTTATATGACACCAACGCTATGGCGACATGAAAACGCTGTTCGTTGCGGGCTGGTTTAAACATAAATATTCTCATAAGCCGACTTTTTCAACCTAGCGCATTCAATGAAAACAATTTCAGCTGGGAAATGGAGTTGATTTGCATCAGAACCGCAAGGTTATTGCTAAAATGCAGCTTCCAGCCTGCCCCCGACAGACGGGTGGGGTTACCCATTCACCAGTGATTTATCCCGAAGAACTTTGACCGGAAGTGCTTAGAAACAGTCTGTGTAAAAGAGTACAACATGTAACAACAACAACAGTGAAGGATGGAAATGAGATACGGCGGGCTAGACAGGCTCGCAGCACCGTGGGACGCGCCTTGAGAAGTTGGAATGCACATCCTGTAGCCTTAGGGAGAGCATTGTCAGGGGTGGATGCAGGGTTCGTCTGCCCTTATGTGGGTTATGAGTGGCGAACTCCTGGGGCTTAAATACAGCGCGTGGAATTTCAGTTAAAAAAACAAAATTTTGCTGTGAATTGGGCCGATTTCTGGTAAGTTTTGTTATTTCTGCCAGTCAAAATATCGAGGCCCATACCTCAGCTCCTAAATAGTCTAATAAAGATATTTTATAGGGTGCCGGGGACCTCTGTGCACCATTTTTATCTAACGCATCCAACATGATAGATCTGCATGATAACCAACACCTAGGATGATCATAGCACAGCACAGTGACATTCTTGGCACCTGCCCTCCTCACATAATCTTATTTTCACATTTCTCTCCATATAGGTGCAGTACGACGATGCGCGCAAACATTGCCCATCAATTGACATAATGTTAGTACTACGTATGATATTAATCTATTTAGATGTAAATGTTCGTCTTCCAAAAGTGCATTACATATATATATATATATATATATATATATATATGTATATATATATATACACACGCATATATATATACATATATATATATATGTATATATATATATATATATATATATATATATATATATATATGTATATATGCGTTGGCCTCGACGAATATGACGCTGGTGCTTAAACTAGACCACGTGGTCCAGAAGGACTTATTTTTTAAATCAGATCTTAGTATTGAGTTGTCTTTAGAAGCGTTGAAATGCAAAATTGCAATATCTATTCGCATAACATTAAAACAAGATGTAGAACAGGGCTGCCATCCAGTTCAATGGTGAAATCTTCGTTTTAAATCGCCTGACTAGTATTTACGAACCTTTTCGTAGTATCAACCAAAAATTATACTGCCGGCTACCAAAATTTAGTCCCATGGTGACGTCACATCTGCGTAACCTTCTTTAGTAGCGTGGGTTTTTAAACTTGCACTTATCTCATACTTAGATACGACGGAAGTATTAGCCTTAATCTTCGGGGAGGAAAAAAAAACAGGAAAATGTAGATATAGTTGGGTTGATATTTCGACAGCATGCTTTTATCGAAGCAATAGCGGGAGTGAATTCGAAATTGCCTGCTGATGATCCTACACGATTTTCCAGGTTTTTTTTTTAAAAACAGGAAGCCACGGTTTTTACAGGGCACCAACATTCAGGGGATTAAACAAATAGTGTTTGTCAGTCATTACCACAATGCAGTGCCCATCTAAGAATTAGAATACGTGAACTTACTTGAACATGCAAACGAATTCAAGGAAATGGGCATTACGCATCACGCTTCATTCAACCATGCAAGGAACTTGAAGTAAACCGGCGCCACAAATCGCCCATCAATTATGCATACAAACGTTTTCAATTGAACGGGCATCGCACATCACGCGTCAGGCATCACCTACACATGTAAACGATTTTAAGCTAGCACACATTACACATAAAGGCACATACCACGTTCGCGCAATCGGCCATGATCAGCCCTGGATGTTAGGATTTGGTGGCCGCTTTTTTTGTAAGAATGGATTCGCTTATTTTCCTGCCTGAGTGGCCCTGTGCTCTGTAGATGGATGTGCTCTGTAGTCATCTAGCGGGTTTTATAAATATGGCACAGGGATCCCAGTTCGACGCATTTGGGCCCTAGGGCATTGTAGTAGTTTCCCAGTTCCGTTTGTGTCCATAGTTGGAAGGGCAACAGACGTCTAAGTACACATGTTCGGATGTCCGGTCCGCCGCGATGTGTACCGCGGCGAACCGAGTGAAACCGAGTCCAGGGGCCTCAGGCTCTGACGTGAAGATGGCGGCGTGCCCGACTGAGCTGGCAGTGTTTCGACCGCAGACGGGCTACCCCACGCACAGGCCTGGCGCGCGTGCGGCCGTGTTTCGTTCTCGGGCGAGGGGCGGCGCGCGCGTGAGTGCGTTCTTCATTTGGCGGCCGGGCTGCCTGGTCCGCCGTCCCGCCGCCGGGCGTGGCTGCCGGCCGGACCGTCGAGCTGGGCTAGCCTGTATTTACGAGCTCCGCGTCTTACCGATTGCACATTATTATTCCCACATATATACAGTGATTGAGCGGAAGCATTGTCTGTGAATTTGGCGGGCGGCGGTTTGTTTGTCGGACGTGCTGTAATACCGATTGGGGCTTTACGTCTCACCGGCTGCTAGGGTTCTTTTGAGGCGGAACGCCTCTGTTACGTATTTATCAGGAATTAAGTACGTGGGACGCGGTAGTGGCGTGGCCAGGACTCCATCCCAGGATAGAAAAGTCCAGAGATGAACACCCTAGCCACTAACCACCATGCCACCTTCGTCCCTCTGCGGCGCGAACTGCACCCGTCTCGATAACCTCCAGACTGATGTTGCTGGACCCCCAAATTCTATGCGTAAGAGGTTCCGAAGCGTAAAAAGAAGAAAGCGTGTCAAGATTGATGAAGTGGACGCCGAATGCAAGCTCACGATTCTCGCAATTCACTCAGCTTATATATCGCAAACCAGCTCAGTGACATACACTTGGCCCCGCTCTTCAGATGGTGAATCAACAGCGCCTTTAAGCTTGGCACGTGCTTAGTGTTTTGCATGACGTTTGGCAGACAGTTGAGTACATTCGCAGTCCACGTTTGCTTTCTTACTTCCTGTTTACTTGCAACCGGGAGTGCAGTTCCCTATTCAGTTGCAGAGGTTTCATCCCCCCCCCGCCGTAATTTGGGTTGCAGCCTGCAGATTTGTGAAAAGGTGAGCCAAATTAGGAGGGATACCAATTTATTGGCATATTATCACTGTACTCTTCTTGGAATTTTCATCGCTTAGCCAACCAAGTTATTTTTGGGAAACCACGCCCCGTTTAAAACGCACCTAATTGAAAAACGAATTGTTTGTAGGCAGGGCCATTGAACGTGTCTGAACAGGGAGTAGTATACGGATTCAGCTGATGAGACAGTCCCCACTCCTCTCTTTGAGAGTAAAGGCATGTATAATTCAGAAGATGTCCTGTTTCCAGCAGCGTGTGAAATATTTTGCAATTGGGGGGGGGGGGGAGGGGAGGGAAGGGAAACAGCCAAATGAAATCCCTAACAATATAGGTAAGCGTGCCAGAAGCTTGAGATCTATATGCACGGCTTCCTGGAACAGACAGCAAATCAGTCAGCCTCACACATCAGCCATCATTTCCTTCAAAAAATGACTTGTGAAACACCACCCACACATACCGTAATTAACGGAAACAAATACCGCCGAGAACGTTATCCATAACCCGCAATACCAAACAGCAGGCACTCCGACAGGTGCTTTCCACGGTTACTGTGCAGCTACTGCCGAGTAACCAGCTTTTTCCGATGCCACAAGCCAGGGATGAAAGCTTTGGATTCTCAAATGCGCATGCTGCCAGGGGCGTGATGACGCGGCAAAGTTTGGGTGCTCAAACAAAGCGGTGTCCATATCCATGCACAGTGGTTAAACGGGGCAGCACTGTACCGCATGACGTCACTCGTCGACTGAGGCGGGCGAAATCGGCTACGGTAGCCCTCTATCGGGCAATATCCGAATCATTAAGTTAAAAGTTGCGAAGAAGTGGATGGTATCCCAACCCGTGGATCTCACGCACGCTGGACTTTATGAACACTGGACGTTCACGAGCCTGGACTGTCCGATTCTCCTCTGTCCAGGGATATTGGACGGTTTCTGGAAGTTGTGAACGTTGAATGCTGCGATTCTGGGCTTTTTGACCACTGGACGTTGTGAGCTCTGGACGTTTCAATACGCACCCTTGGGCTGATGCCTAGCGTGTGTCCGCGGCTCTGACGGCAGCGCATTGGCGGTTGCAGGAAGTGACGGCTCCTGCGGGCTGGTGACGCCGCTGCGGTTTTTGCGTGACAGCATGAGCGGCTGTAAACTACCGCTGACGGCCGCCCATCTGCAGGACTGTCGCCAGATCAGGTCAGTCAGGTCCAGTGCAGGTCCGTGTCCAGTATGTTTGTATCTCCAGTGCGGTTATATCTATAGTACAATTGCATCTCCAGTGCGGCTGCATATGTCACCTATGTTAACGGACAGTGTCCAGCAGGGTTGTAAAAGACCTATTTTCGAGAAATGATGTATCTAGTGAGCCTGCCATGCGTTTAATCGGAGTGTTCGATATTTGTATCACGTTTTAAACTGGGATGGTCATTGTGAAGATCTTTCAGCGCAGTTCACACTGCCAAGCTCTTTTAAGACTCGAAAGCCTGTTGTTTTTAAGCTTAACGCCCTGGAACATGTGCAGACTACTTTGTGCGGACTGTCAAAGTCACCCGGACATACATGACGCCACAGAAACGTCAGCCAAATGTCGCCACCTCATTGACCATGTACTGCTCAAGGTAAATAACAATATGATCCTTGAATTAGTCGCGTCTGTTGTACGTCAGTGCGATTCGTGGCATTCATGGACGTTAGTTGACGTGCAACGAATTCATCGTTGAGGGCAAGTTTTGAACACGAATCACGTTTCGTGCTACACAATCATGGATTTAGGCAGTCGTTCGAGTTATGGTGGAAATGGGACTGGTAATCAAAGAACTTAGAAGAAATGTTTCAAATTTGAAATTGGGCCAAACATGAGATATGATAAAATAAGCAAACTTTTAACCACTGTTGTACTTTTGAAGTGGAAAAGACTGCTCTAGACAGCAGTTCTCTGTTGTTCAACTTAAATGGAGGGCCAATTGACGGCCGTTATGTCATGAAATCGCGCTCACGAGCACCAGATATAAGCACCTCAGCGATTTTTTTGTTTAGTCTTGATCGCCACGTGGTTTGTGGAATGGCAGGATTTGAATGGCGCTAGTATGACGTTGTGAATGTCTGAAATACATGGAAGATGTGATGCATTTTACTGTGAAAAAGCTGCATGATGGACTGGCGTAAATCACCTTTTAAGACGGTGTTGATTGCGTTACATTGTCACATAGATTTGCGGTTTGCCTGGCTGAAGTTGATCCGAACTGCCGAATGATGGGATCTGATCCGTTTTTGTACATCCCTTCGAGTAACCAAACAATTCATAAAGCTTTGTAAACCACGAAATGACCCACTGTCGGATGTCGCAGCGACCGGCTTCAAAATTGACTAATTCAGAGTTCTTGTTTGCATAGTTTTACGTTAAGTTATGGTACTCAGGGAAGTAGCTGCGGCGCTGATGCGTACCATTTCAGCCGCATTCTGGTCAATTTCGTGAATTGTCGAGAAGACATTACCCGCAGTTTCTTCAATGGGAAGGCTGGCCAAATTAGGATCCATGTTAGGTGTTACAAACTTGTGTAACATGGTACGTTTTCAGTGTGCCACGATCTTATGTTTTACGGTTCCCAGGACTCAGGAATTGTCTCACTTGCTTTTCAATTCGCTGCACCCTTTGAGGATGGCTGATGGTGTTGTTTTCAAGTTTGCTTGAGATGATCACCAACCGCCGTCTCAGGAGACAAACCCCGATACAGGAGACAAGTCCCGGTGAGCCGAAAGGTTCAATACGGCCTTGGTATGGCAGCGTGCTATCATTCATAGGCACTCGAAGTGATTAGGTCATCTGAACACCAGCTGTACACACTGATAGACATGTTATTGCTGGTCTCAAGGTATGAAACCTCGCACTAGTAGTCTTATGAGCTACATCCTATTGGGTCATAGTACCGGTTTTCGTGTTATATTGGTGCGCTGAGAAGTTTTTAAAGTTTTTTCGATCATGTTTTTAGGAATTTTTATTACATTCTAAACACTGACAATACATGATTATGTTCATGGAATTGCATTGACTTTCAGTAGTTGAACCACATTTGAACTCAGAGTGAGCTTGTAATAGGAAACGAGACTCCTTATAGACAATTGTTTCTTCAGTCGATGTCTTTAGTTCATCAGTTAGTTATTTAGTCAAAAGTTAAAGGCTGATGTTAGTCCTGACAACGGAATGAATCGGTCGGGGGCATTGGATGCTGGCCGAATCAGGTTTGTTTACATCTAGTAGTATTTGGATTTTACGGGTACGCGTCGCCTGCAACAGTCATTTAGCCCCCGGATATTTGCATCGATGTTGTTTGGAGCAAGGGGGATTTAAGGTTCATTCAAGTCAAAGATCATTCACCATGGATCGTGTTTTGAGTAAGAGGGTTTTGAGGTTCATTCAACCCAAGGATCATTCATCGTGGATCTTGTGTTGGTAATTAAGATTTCTAAGTATTGCTTACCTACGAACAGGGACGTCACCATCAGATAAGAGTCTGCTTTATCGCCTCCGCGTCAGACATGCCATCGCGCCTTTTTTTAAAAAAAAAGTTGCGAAAAGCTTCATTAGGAAGAAATCTGGCATTCGGACAGTCTTGTCTACAAGCAGCGACCGCAATTTTATCAACATATGAGTCTTTACAAACATGTTTTTGAAATCTCGGCAGAGCATTTCATGCCGAAAATCGCTCTTAAAAGTTTAGTGGTCAGAAACAAACCCCGAGAAGTGTTGGAAAAAATTGGCGCCTTGGCCTTTTGTGAAAAGCCTATCCTGTAACATAGCATTGGTAACCAGCATTATTCTTGTACAGGGAGCCCGATTTGCATAACAACTTAACGCCTGTTTCACCGGTTTAAAATAAAACTTGATGCCCGTTTTTTGTCATTGTCTCGCATGTCTTGCCTTGTCTACGGGTTTTCATGGAATGTTTAAAGTGGCCAGCAAGCTGCCTAATGTTGGATAAGGATCCCGTGTGAACGCCCCTTAAACAGCAGAGTTAATGGAGGTCTGGTAGCGCCGGTGCTGTCTTGCCGACTGTATTGTAACTTGACATATAGGCCATTAATTTGACAAGTCACGCAAACCATGTGTGCAGAAGGGACATCAAAGTTTCGAGTTAGCCGCCTGCAAGGCATCGATGAATGCATCAGCGTGCACAGGAGCAATGGGCTGCCCGAGCCATGAACGTTTAATTACTTTAATGTTATTCCACTTCATCATTCCCCTTAATAACTTCAGTTGTGGGTCATGCAAGACTGAAATAACGGTCTCTAACGATGAGCAAAAAACAGCATTAAACTGTGCCATATACAACGCATCGATATAGAGCCCTCGTTTACGAGTTTTGCGGTCCCACTTTCTGGGCTGTTTGTTTTATCACTACTGGAACTGTACCTATATACGTATTGCACCTGCGTTTTATATTACTCATCACAATTCCGGTCAGAATGTGTTCTGATTACAAATACCTGCAGCATGCGGAGCGAGACGAGTGTTAGTTTTAAATGCAAATTGGGCTAATTAAAGTACAGTTTTTTAGAAAAGTAAATGAGCTCCCTCACTATTAGACTGTGCACGTCCCCAATGTCTGCAGCTGAGATGTGTTAGAAGCACATGGCATAGTGAGGGGGAGGGATTGCATGGCGCCCGGATACCATGTAGCAACTGTATGCTGGAAGAACGGAATCACGCTTGCATTAGATCCAGGCAGCGTCTGCCATTTTGAAGATAACGGAACGGTAGATCATTACACGACTTAAATCTCTGATTGACAAAAAAAGTCGTCAGTCATTATACATAGCTATAAACCAACTGATTTGGCCATCGAGTTCTCCAGCAATGCCACGTCTTCTTGGAAATAGTGCTTGTTCAACCTGTAAGTTTGCACAAGGTCGCTTGGTTTTGTGAGACTGTTAAGTGTGTTTAGTGGGAATATTTGGTGAGGAGACGTGACAATCAATCTGACGCTGAAGGATCGATAGATAATGCCACTCTCCGAATTTTAGCTGTATTAAAAAATGGAAAAGGGGAAGCGTGTTCGGTAGCTACAAGGCACGAGTCGTCTTGAAGTTGACGTTTGACACCAGCGTGGGAAATGCCAAAATTTTTCCTGGTAGCAGAGTACAAATTTTCCAACATGGAGTACAAAATTTTCCAAGTTCTGTGAGTCATTGCATTTTTGTTTAGGTTGTCTTTGAGAGATTGCAGTACAATGGGTGGTACTCAACAGGGGCACCGCTTTTCATATACAACAATTCATGTTAAAGAGCTACAAATGAAAGAGAACATCAATATTAAACATGCCACACTGAGAGAACACAGTCTCAGGCTCTTTAACATGAAACACATGTGCATTTACATGAGTGGGCAATCTGCAAAAAGCTTACTTTACCATGGATCGAGGCAAGTATCGCTGTAAACAGTGAGCATCTTATGCAATTCTCCCAAAGTCACCAAAAAGTCGCTTATTGAGGGGGGCAGCTTCGCAAAATGAGTTTGGAGTATACCAAGGAAAAATGGAACACAAAAACTGCCCATGAATGTGCCACAGATGGTGACCCGCTCACACTCCATCACGATCACGCTACTCACGCTCTACCACGGTCACGCTTCTCACGCTCCACCTGGTAACTGGACTTAAAAACGGCAAAACCTTCATACCCCTCCACCCTCCACCTTCCAACTCTCGAACAACACACGAGTCGCCGCAGGTCTCAGCCGAACATAAGAGATAGGCAGCACTCTCAACCGATTTACCGAGACAGCGCAAGTACAATGCGTGACGAACCAGTCCAGGTCGGCCAAAAGGGATCGGAGTCAGTCACTCCGCCTGACTCTGGTGCGTAATACAATGTATTGATGAATTTTGTGTGTGCCTTAACCGAAACCATTGCGAAATGTAATGATTTATCCCTCAATTTACCGATATTGTCCTAATTAATCCTGTTCCTTAATTCACCTTGCCAAAATAATGAGTTCATGTTAATTTGGTATCCTCGTGTTTTTGCCGTAGTTTTATGGCTGTCTCCGAACAGTTTTTTTTACTTTTCATAGTAGTGGTTTTCGACTTCAAAGGATTTTTTTGTAAAGCTTGAATTACCAGCTTTAATTTCGTACCCTTAAATGGCAAATCAAAGTCTTTGAAATACTCAGCTGCCTTTACATTTTTGTACACCGCATA